ATTCCAACGTCGCCTCACTGCGACAGCAAAAACACTGAATGAAAAATTACTTCTGTATAGGGAACTGGACAGGCACGAGGGTGACCTCATCTTCTAGTGAGACGTCTGCAAAAGTGACAACAGGTCGAGGAACATCAGACGTGGGACGACGTCTAATAATCGCTTAGGGTGAATGCGATTTACCGATGGCTGTAGCGAGGAGAGAAGAAACATAGGTTAGCCGCCGGTGAACCCTGCTCGAAGGAAAGAAAAAACAACAAGGATGGCATCAGGGGAGGGCAACATGCATTCGTTGCAATCGAGGCTGTAACTTCGCGTGGAACATACAGCCATAACAGAAGAATAAAATCTTTTAGCGCCTGCGCAGAAGATGGTTATCACGAAAACGATGGATATCATTTATGACTCAATTTTGGAATTTGATTCATGAAAGTCATTCAGGAGGAATTTCTAATTCAAAAAGCAATCTAAGAAAATAGTGAATAGTCACTAGCCTTTATGTTCCTGTTTCGACTTCTGCAAAGAATTTTTTTAATTACGTGAATCGATTTGTTGTAATTCACCTTTTTTCTCTGCTAATGGCTTTATTTGGGAAAGGTTTAAGCACAGGGCAAGGTATGGTGGATATCAAATCGGATTTAATCGGAGAGTCAGGTTAGAACTAGTCGGAACTGATTACGCTTGATAAAAAGTATGAATCTTCTCCTCCAGCTATGGTTAAATAGCAGGACAACCTGGGTTCTAAAGCCTTGGAGTTAACCGGTCTAGGAAATCGTTTCTGAATTCAAAAATATTATGTATTATTTTTGAAATATACTATATAGCTGAAAATTATTCGCATTTGATCTATGGTCCCGACTACGGTCGAATATTGAATGATTGAAACAATTGTTAGTTCTGTGTCGACGAGCCGGTTTCAAATGTGTCGCGGCGATCGTGTTTTTTTCATTAATCCACTTCACAATTTCATTAACTCATTTTATCTTCCTCTGCTTCATTTCGGACACATAAACTGCAACTTTATGTAAGATAAAACTTAAAACGGATACTTCGTCGCAATATAATTTTAACCTCTTCAGGTCTAGCATCACGGGCCATTTTTTCCCTATGTATTCGTCGTCCATACACAGCTTTTTGGGTGATTAATCTTTTCCATCCTTCATCCTCTTTCCACGGACGAAATTTTGCTGGCCTTTCTCTACTTTTACTGTTTTCATGGAAGATACTTGGGCGAAGAACATTCCATGAAAAGTCCATCATTTAAGACCTTTTGAAAGGGTTGACATAATACGCAGCGCAACGGAGACTAATTTTCTTCATATTCCATTCAAAGGAAGATGTTCCATTCAGACCCCGGTTTTCCAAGACCTGTGGAATTGACTCCCGAGAAAATGCTTCTAATCGCAATAATCTTAACCTCTAAAAGTCTGGGGCCAATGTTTTTCTTGTTTTCTATCCTAATAATGTTTTTTTTTCCTCTTACATTTCAAAAAGTTCGAACTCAGTAGCCATATGAAATTCAAAGTTATACGGAATATTGTATTGGTGATTAATTAGTAAAAAAAAAAAAAAGAAAAACTATATAAAATTCGTTGTCTCATGAACCTGGGTAAATTTAGCTTAGGAGACAACTTTCAATTATCTTTATTACAATGCATTGCAAATAATCTGTTTTTATAAAGAACTTAACTTTAAATATATATCATATATTGAGAATTATTTGATCATATGAAGCGGCCAAACAAGAATCATTTTTTTTTTTTTTGAGAGAGAGAGACAGTGAGCAGAGAGAGACTTTTCGAAATGAAAGAGAGAGAGATGTTTATATCTTTTGAGCACGATTCGTAACCTGAAATTAAAAAAATTTTATCTGCAATTTTCGTTATCTTTTTCTTTCCGTGACATGTTAAATTTTTGATAGGACCATTAACTTTTGTACAAACATTTTCAATTAAATACCGAGAAAAAATATCAAGTAATTCTGTCAATTTAAGAAAAAAAAAAATGGTAGTTAGCCAAACTTTGAAGGCAAATATATCAAAACAACAAATAAATTTACATCACGCTGCAACACAGTTTCCCGTGCGATCAGCGAAGTTTAAACAAAGTCGTGCCTACTCAGTACCAAAATGGGTGACATTTTAGGAATATAAAGCACTCGAAGCTTGGACGTACTGGAATATAAGTTTTTTACGACCACATCACGTTGAATTTATGTTCCCTTACGATCAACGAATTTTACGCAACGTCGGGCTCACTCGTTACCGGCCTTGGGTGAACTCCTGGGAAACCAGTCACTGTAAGCCTGGACGTACGGGTATATAATGGGACACCACGTCACGTTGAAACACCGAGTCCCGTACAATCAACGAAGTTAAGCAACGTCGATCCTGGCCAGGTTGAGATGGGTGACCTATTAACATTAAAATTAACTGTAAAGAAAAAACTGACATCTATTAAACATCGTTCAGGCGAAATAATGTATTCAGTTCGAACAAACCGTGAAAACACCGGTTCCCGTAGGATCACCGAAGTTAAGCAACGTATGGCCTCATTAATGAGGACCTAGATGGGTAACTTCTTGGGAATACCAGGCATTGTATACTTGAGCGTGCGGGGATATAATGGGCTTGACCACGTCACGTTGAAACACCGGTTACCGTACGATCAACGAAGTTAAGCAACGTCTGGCCTGGAATACCTAGATGGGTGACCTCACTGGAAATTCCAGGCACTGTAAGCTTAGACGTGCGGGGATATAAAGGTTTATGATAACGTCATTTGAAACACCGGTTCCCGTACGATCACCGAAGATTAAGCAACGTCGGCCCTGTTCAGTTCCTAGATGGGTGACCTTTGGGAATATCAATATATTTTAAGCTACATTACGTACGGGGGGATATTACCTCTTCCGTCAAATTTTAGGATCACCATAAAACATCTCTTGTCGCCCTAATGGTGGCTTTCTAAGTATTTACCTATAGATGTAGCTCAAAGGCCGAAAATACATTATTTACCTTGTGAGGCTCAAAGTCACATATCAGATTTAGCGAGACGAGCTTGTTGAACATTACTCCAGGTCCTTGTATTCCAGTTTCGTTCCATCATTTCGGCAAATACTTTAAAAATTTTGAAGGATTCAATCTTTTTAGATATTTTTTAAAATGACACAAATAATGTTGCAGGTTTCTCGAATAATTCTTTTTTATATGCATTCATTTCATGAGTCTATTAGCCATTAGTATCAACAACGTTATTAATATTGGCCTTAATAATAGCCTAATACTGGTCTTTAATAATCTCTAAGATTCGCTTTAATAATAACCCAATATTCCTTAATAATAACTTAATATTCGCCTAACTAATAACCTAATATTCGCCTTAATAATCATAATATTCGCCTTAATAATAACCTAATATTCTCTTTTAATATTAACCCTTTTTCTCATCATAATAACTTAATATGCGCCTTAATAATAGAATAATGCAAATAATTTAACCTAAATAATATTCTCGTAAATGCATAAAATACGAATCAGTCAATCAAAATTCATCAGTTGGTCCCAACTGTCAAATACGTTATTTTTATTGATCTAATTTTCTCCTTTCATATGATGCCTTGATCCTGATCCTCGTCCGTCTCTATATCATCAAACAAGTCACCTTACTCTTGCTCTGCCTCTCATTGTCCCCTTCCGTACTAGTGGCACTTCACCTTGCTTGATATTTGAAATGTAAAATTTCTGGAAACATCTTCGTCTTAGAGTAATTCGGGATATTTTATCTCATCAATTTCAGAAAATATCCTCTTCTTTTACTGTCGATTCACGTAACCGCCTCTTCTACTCCAACAGCTTCTCTCGCACTTCCCGACAGTGGAACTCTCTTCCTCTTACTTGCTTCCCTGATATCTATAATCTTCAAATATTCAAATGTAATGTCAATCGACATCATCTGATTCCTTGACCTTGTCCTTCTCTTTATTCGTTACCCAAACACCCTCTTCTCTTACTTCTCGTTATCTTCTATAAACTCTTGGCATTCAAGAACATTCAAATGTAATCTTAAAATCGACATTTTCTGTACAGTTAATTAACATTGATCATCTTTCTCTTTATTCTTTACCCAAACACCTTTTTACTCGTCTCTCTCTCTCTGTAACTCCTTACATATGGCTATGTCATGTTTTTGCTTGTCTGTGGGGATAACTAAATATTATGTCAATTTTTAAGCTTTTAGTTTGGAACCAGATATTTAAACACAGTATAAATTTTTGTTTTTTAATGAATAAAAAAGTAACTTTCTGTTAGCATTAACTGGATTAATTCTTGGCGCGTAGTAAAAAAAAAAAAAAAATTATTGCAATATATATCTCTTTAATAGTGTTTTTTTTTCTCATATTCTTAAACACAAGTAACATCCTTGCGTCTCCGTATTTTTTCGCCTTGCTTGGATGAAATGATTAAATGTAATAATCGTTATCTTCTGTCTTCTTTATTTTTCTTCTCCTGGTGTCTTTAACTCCTTGCGTCTCATTAGATTTATCACCTTACATTGGGATGAAATAATTATAATATTTAATGTCAATCGTTAACTTCTGTCTTCTTAATTCCTCTTCTTTTATTTCTCTTTCTCCTTAATAGTAATTTTCTTTTGAAATTTTTTCTTCAGTAACTCCTTTGTCTCAGTAGATTTATCATCTTTTGGGATAAAATGATTTAATGTAATGTCAATCGTTATCTTCTGTCTTCTTAATTCCTCTTATTTTATTTTTTTTTTCATTTAATAGTGTTTTCTTTTTTGCTATTCTTTTCTTTTCAGTAACTCATTTCGTCTTAGTAGATTTATTGCCTTGCTTGGGATGAAATGATTAAATGTAATGTCAATCGTTATCTTCTGTCTTCTTAATTCTCTTCTTTTATTGTTCTCTCTCCTTAATAGTTTTATTTTTTCTCATATTCTTTAACACTCATGAAACTCCTTGCGTCTTAGTAGATTTATTAATTTGCTTGGGATGAAATGATTAAAAATTTAATATCAATCAAATAAATCTTTGTCTTCTTAATTCCTCTTTTTTTTTTTTATCTTCACAAATTGTTTTTTTTTTTCAAAATTCATTTTCCTAGAAGTAAGCTTTTCCATTAAAAATGTTTCTTGCCTTGTCTTTTTCTTAAAATGATTAACCTCAATTTCAATCGTTATCTTCTGTCTTTTTAATTCCTCTTCTTTTATTTTCTCTCCCTTAAAATAGTTTTTTCTTTTTCTCTTATTCTTTCCTTCTGTTCTTTGCGTCTTGAATTTTTTTTGGGAAAATGAGTTAAAATACCAAAATCAATTGTTATCTCTTTGTCTTCTTAATTCCTCTTCTTTTTATTGTTCTCTGTCCATAATAAGTTTTTTCTTTTAAAATATTCTTCCAGCCAATATCTCTCTTGGGTCAAAAATTAATCTTGAAAAAATGCAAATTAAAAATTAATTCAATCGTTATCTTCTGTCTTCTTAATTCTCTTCTTTTTTTTCTCTCCTTCAAATGTTTTCTTTTTTCATCAATTCTTTTTCTAACTTCTTAATCTTAGTAGATTTATTGCCTTTTCTTGGGACTAAATCATTAAATGTAATGTCAATCGTTATCTTCAAATTTTAATTGCTCTTCTTTATTGTCTAACTTCTTAATTCCTGTTTTTTCTTTTTAATTATTCTTTTCACACTTCTTAACTCATTCAACTTTGTAGATTTATTGCCTTTTATTTTACAAATGATTCTAAAAAATTTCAATCGTTTCTTCTAAAATTAATTCTTTTATTGTAAAAAAATAAAAACAAACTAGTGTTTATTTCAATTAATTAATTTCACTTCATATTTTCTTTCAGGATTCAGTGAATGTCAATTTTCATTTGGGGAAGAAATTTGATTAAAAAAAAATGTCAATCGTTATTTTTTTTCTTAATATTTTCTTCTTTTATTTCCTTATTTAATTGTGTTTATTAATATATTTTTTAGTTTGGCATTTTTTAAAAAAAATAACTTTTCTTATATATTTAATTTTTTTGAAAAAAATTGTTTTTCAAATGCAATGTTAATCTTCTATTTTATTGTCTTCTTAATTCCTCTTCTTTTATTGTTCTTTCTCCTTAATATTGTTTTTCTAATTTTCATTTCTCTTCACTGTAATTCTCTTATTTGTCTTATAGCATTTAACAAAAAATTTGAAAAATATTAAACATTTTGTCAATCGTTATCTTCTGTCTTCTTAATTCCTCTTCTTGACATTTATCTTTAAAAAAACTTTATCTTTCTAAATTTTAGGTATTTTTTAAAAAATTCCAGTTAGTACTTTTTCTTCTTGGGAAAAATGCAAAATCCTAATTTCAATTTTTTGTGTTCTGTCTTCTTGTAGAATTTTGATTTTATCTTTTAAAAGTTCTTTTTGTTTTAAATTCTTTTAAAATTACAACCATTTAGTTATTGAATAAAACTGGAATTTAACTTTAAATGTAATTCAATATCGTTATTTTTTATTTTAATTCCTCTTCTTTATTCTCTTTTTAATAGTTTTTTTTTTTTCATATTTTGGTGTTCTCATTTTTAAAGTCAATTTATTGCCTCCATCATGGGATGAAATGATTCAAAAATAAATGTCAATCTTTAAAAATTCTTCTTAATTATTCTTCTTTTAGACATTTCTCTCTCTTTTAATTACTTCTTTTTTTTTCTGATTCTTTCACAGTTAAAAACATTTTTTTTCATTTGTCTTTGGATTTATTTCTCCTTAAAAGGGGAAATTTTAAAAAGTATTAGAAATTGCAAATCTTCAAGATTTTAATTTATTTTAAATTTTTATTTCTCTGGCTTAAACATTTTTTTTGGATTTTTCATTTTCTTTCAAAACTCAAGATTTCTTTCTTAGTATCTTTTATCACCTTGTTTTTGGGATGAAATCTATGATTAAATGTAATAGAATCGTTATCTTCTGTCTTCTGGACAAATTCAAATAAAAGGATTTAAAAAAAAATTCTCTCCTTAATAGTGTTTTTTTTTTTTCATTAAAAAAGTTAAAAAACTAAAAAAAAATAATTAGTAGATGGTTTTGCCTTTGCTTTAAAAAAAAATTAAAATAAAATCCAATAAATAATTTCTGTCTTTTTAATTCCTCTTCTTTTTTTTCTCTTAAAAATTAGAAGTCAAGAAAATCTTTAAAAAATTCTTTCAATTAGAAAAAATTCATCTTATTATGTTTATTGAATGATTTTGGGATGAAATGATTAAATTAATTTCAATTGTTACATGAAAAACAAAATTCTTAAATTAAAAAAAAAATTCAATTTATCACTAAAAATAGTGTTTTCTGCAAAAATATTCTTTCTTCACCATAACTCCTTTCACTGTTTAAATTTTTAAAACTTAAAAAGTTTGTTTTCTTAATAACAACTTGATTAAAACTGAATTTTCATTCTTTCGTAGAAAATTTAAAAAAAATATTAATTGAAAATAGTTTCAGGCAAATGAACAAACATTTGGAATTTTTAAAAAAGTTTTTTAAATTGAAGAGTATGAAAAAGGTTCCGTCAAAAAGAAATAAAAAAAAATTTAAATAGTAAAATAT